GCCAAGTCTTGCTCAAGCTTCACCGCCACGCGATCCATCGCTCCAAAGCCTCCAACTTGCCCTTCACGCTTGCAACCAGTCCATCAAGCCAAGTTTTGCCTCGATCTTCTTCACCTTAGTCACATCGCTCAATGTCATGTCTCATATGCAATAAATTCCTTCATCACATGTGTGAGCCTTGCAACATATCCCAACCATTTTTACCATCATGGCATGAGTTGCTCACACAAGTGTACTTGTGGACTAGTTACTTGTGTATCTCACTCAAACACATATTAGTCCACCTAAGGTTGTCACTCAATTACCAAAACTAAATAAGGACCTTTCACACTGGCACTGCACCCGCGTCAGGTCCTACGTGCACTGCCTGGGCGCGAGCATGTTGGTCGCCTCTGGTAGGAACCTGGCCATGGCCGTGCCGTATCTGCTGGTCGCGTTGCTAGCCACGATGGCCACTGTGTTTACGAGCCGCCCGAGCAGGCTAACGAACGCGTCGATGTTCCTGCCGCTCATGCTGTTCATGTTCCATGCGACCACCTGGTCTATGGAGTTGTCGTAGCTAGAGAGGAAGTCATGGTTAGAGAAACGGAACAGGCACTGATCGTAGTACAGCATCGCATCTCTGGATTCGACGTAGATGGTGGACAACGTGAGGCTGAGCACCAACGCGAGGCATGAAACGCACTGGTCAGCGAGGAAGTCCCCGCGGCAGAGCACAAGCCCATACGCCGTGTACGGGGTGTCACCGAATGCCCGCAACGCGTAGCCCGATGCCTTCGTGTTCCCTAGCAGCTCGTAGGACAGCTTGGCGAGGTTGGCTTGGAACGTGTTGTTGGACCACATCGAGTTACAGTAGTTGTATGTGGGGTTGCAGATGTAGGAGAATGGTCCAGCCACCCACCTCGCCTTGCCATTGCTCGGCCCCATCGCTAGTGTCGTCGAGACAGCGCCGACGACAAGGAGGAGCAAGGGGATAAGCATCGCATGCATCTATTGGATAGTGGGGGAGGCTAGTGGTGATCTGATGCAGATGCTGCTGTTAGCTATGTGCGTGTCACATGTGCATATGTGCTAGTAATAAGTATAAGTATCGGTTTATTACTTATTGTTTACACCAAAATTTGGGAGAAGAGCACGTGAACTCGTAGGCTTTCGAGATTGTGCCAATCAAGGAGTCGGTTGAGTAAGGATTGATATCTGTCGGGTCGAATGCGACACTGAGATCGGTTCTCTCCGAATAACGTCAGCAGATAACGATGACGAGATATGATTGGCATCGAGAGGATACATATCGGACTCTACAAAAGGGGAAAGATTAGAGTCTAAGTTATCTTAAAATAGGAATGTTTTCTTCGTACCAAAAATTGTACCGAGTCGTACTCGAGTAGGATTCGTTTTTAGGCTCCGGGTATAAATATCAAAGCCCGGCTATTGTAAAAGATACACAATCAATCTAATACAAGTTATTTACTTTTTTCGGCTCCGGCCACCCCTTAGGAGTAGGAGTAGAGTAGATCTTGATGAGTTCTTCAGCAAGTATGGCTGCATCGATCCGGTCGATCTCCACTGCTTGTCTGTAAGTACCGTCATGGCTTATACCTCTATTCGTACGGCTGCATCGATCCAGTTGACCTCCACTGCGACTCTGGTATAAGTTAGTTATCGACTCTTGTCTAGTTCAAGTACGGCTGCATCGATCCGGTCGACCTCCACTGCTCGAACTAGATTAAGGTCAAGTTATTGGCTCTATCTAAGAGTGGTGTTCCTTCGGATAGATTCATTAAGTTACCGATATTGCTTGTTGTTTCCATTATTTACTTAATTACAGCAATATCACTTCGCCCGATTGGGATTGATTTAGATCAGCCTTATATCTTTGTTAACCCATCGTTTGTTAATCTAAACTGATCTAATCTGCACTTTAAACGATGAGTTATGTTTTATCGGCTGATTTACATTAATCTTGGTCGTGCATAGCGTGCGGTTAATGCATGTTTGATCTTGAGTAGATCTATTGGCTAACGAAAACTGTTCTATGGCCCGTTATCACGGCCTGTGTGATTCTGCTTCACACCCCATTGTTAGCACCGTGGAGTGATGATCGTTATTTGGTAGATCTGTTCCTAAGAGGATAAGACCTTAATTGTGCGCTATGCCTGAATCGACTGTTTTAGTCGATATCGAGCGCTTTCACGAATAGTTCACATCACGAGATCGTTGAAGTATCGATAGGTTGAAAGATGTGTTAGCCCCATGATCTTATTATTGTATTACGGCCTGTATGATTCTACCTCATGTCTCACTGATATTAGTAATAAGTTAGGGTCGTCGAGTCTATTGTTGTTTCTACGGCCTGCATGATTCTACCTCATGCCCCACTGGCCATAGCGATAGATGAGATCTAGTACGTTCATTAGATTTACCTCTATTAAACGGTTGAATGATGATGAACTGTTTCTTTCATAAAAAGGGGTTCGGTTACTTGTAGTCATTGGCTTAGCATGAACTAATTATTGTTAATATCTTATTGTCATTGACCAATATTTGTTTAAAGAATGATATCCATCCTGAACGATAACCGATTCTTCTTACACAACCCCGTGAGCTTTAACCGATTTATTCTTATGAATATGCTGGAATCGACTATTTAGTCGATCTTCTTTTATATCGGCTCTCAGAGCCGCACATTCGGGACTGTCTGGCAACATCGGCACGTTCCGCCCTTAATTACTGATAAACTTTCTCTCCTTATCAATTGCAGGGTCAAATTGACTGACACGTCTCGGGAGGAGTACGCATGATCGACCACCCCTGCGCTGAAGCTAGGCGGATCTCTAGCTCCATCGAGCGGACCCTTCCGGCTTGCTCGTGTGTCCTCGGTACGGGACGAAATTCCGTGTCGACACGCTTTCATAACTTTATTGGATATGTAAAACTTATAGGATCCTCTCATGAATGGTGGGAGAAAGCTAGTAACGCCATTGATGGGTTGATGAGGCAATGAGTCAGTTCCCTCGTTATGCTTGGATCTTGGATCTTATGGAACCATTGCGACAGATACGTCTTTGATGGAGTAGCTCCAAGCATAGCTGGCACCCTGGTCATCGATGGCGAGGAACACCGGTTATGGTCTTTGGTGGGGGCTCGAGGGCTATCACTCTTGACTGCTCCCTCCCTGGTGGATAGAGTTAGCTTGATAGTGGTCGCCTTGTATGTTTATCACGGGTAGGAATATAATCGTTTGAATGATGGGTATGCGAGTGAGTGTGTGTGATGTTTGTGGGGATGTATGGGTTCTTGTCCTTTTTTCTTCTTAATTAATATATAGCTGCCATTTGGTTCCTATGAGACTTTTAGAATTTGGATAAAAAAAATCTCAAAATTATAGACTCCCATTCAAACAGACTAGATCATAATGAATTATAATACAGATACAGAATCAAATGAAATATGCTAGATTTTTTAAAATCCGGATTCTTAAAATCTCTAGGAACCAAAATAGCCTATAATGACGCAAACTCTCCCATGTTTTCGAGAGAAAAAAAACCGAAGTGACATTTTCTTTTGAAAGAATCGGGATGGGTTTTTGCTTGTACCGTGAATTTTTTAATCAGGATTCTAAAAATCTCCTAGGAACCAAACTAGCCTATAATGATGCGATGTAAATTTTAGGACATACAAGTTATAGAAAGATTTTTTTTGAAGCTAATTATAAAAAGAACTTTTTTTAATCTAATTATAAAAAGAATTTGATACACAAGACCTTTGGTTGTCTATTTGGTCACGGTTTAGCCGTTGGCATTTTTACCTTTGCAGCACTGCAGCTGTGCTGGTACGGGTACAGAGTTGATTTTTTTAATCGTGTGTGGGTACATTTTTATCAACTTTCTCCGTTCCAGAAAAACATAGATCTCACTTTTTGAGGTAAGATTAGTGTAGATATAAAATTATGTATTTACCTCTGCTCTATGATTCTAGAAATTAAAAACAATGGTTACATTTCATAATGTTTTTCTATAAATAGAATATGATAGTTTTTAGACATATAGTGGTATATTTAATAGGTGGGTCCTATTGAAAATTTTAAGTCAACATTTAGGTGATGTTTAAATTTATGGGCTAAAGTTTAGAGATGTCACATCAGCCATTACATGGAGTGCCATGTGGGAGTGTTCGGATATTAATAATAAAACAAATTACAAAAGTCATCAGAAATTCGCGAGACAAATTTATTAAGCCAAACTAATCCGTCATTAACACATGTTTACTGTAGCTTCCTGTAGTTCTACATTGTGAAATCATGGATTAATTAGGTTTAAAAAATTTATCTCGTAAATTAGTCGCAATATGTATAATTAGTGATTTTTAGTCTATATTTAATATTTCATGCATATGTCAAACATACGATGTGATAAAGACTAAAGTTTAAGGAGGACATTTTTTTAATAAGGCCTTATTTAGATTCCAAGTTTTTTCACTCTCTCCATCACATCAAATCTTTGGACACATGTATGGAGTATTAAATATAGATAAAAAAAAAACTAATTACACAATTTAATTGTAAATTACGAGACGAATCTTTTGAGCCTAATTAGACCATAATTGAACAATAATTATCAAATACAAACGAAAATATTACAGTGTCAAATACTGATTCCTAACCGCGAACTAAACAAGGCCTAAGATTTAAAGATTACATTCTTGCCCTCTCTCGCTTCTTCGGCACACCAGCGAAGGCACAGCATCATGGGCCTGTACGATAGGCTCCAGCCCACAAAAGGGGGGCATTTCCGTCTTTTCGCGTCCAAGCTTTTCATTCTCCCTCCACCCGTTCAGTTTCCCTCTCGGCGGAACCGCCGCCCGCCCCCTCAAATCCGCGCTAACCCTCGCCCCGTTCCGTCCCCCTCCCCCTCCAAATCGAATCGCCCCCTCTCCTCTCCATTCCCCCCGCTCCTCTCGCCTCCCTTCCGCCGCAAGATTCACCCAGGCTCGCCAGCGCGATGGCGGCGCAGCTGACGCCCGGCGCGGTGGCGGCGATCTCGGAGCACGCCGACGGCGGCAACGGGACGCTGCAGCCGGTGCTGCAGGTGGTGGACGTGCGGATAGTCCCCAACGTCAAGGGCCCCACCAACCACGAGCGCTTCCGGATGCTGCTCTCCGACGGCGTCCACACGATGCAGTCCATGCTCGCCACCGCCGAGAACGTGCTCATCCACAACGGCTCCATCAAGAAGGGCTCCATCATCCACCTCCACGAGTTCACCTGCAGCACCATCCAGAACCGCAGGTGAGGATTCATTAGTTAATAATCCTGCCCCGCGCTCGATTCCCCGCTCCATCCCAGATTCGAATCTCGCAGATTTGTATTATTTTGTTGCGTTCCTAGTAGTAGTAGAAAGGCTGAATCTTGGTTTGCTTCCCGCACGGTTCAGTGATGTAAAACATGCAGTGTATTAGGCTCGTGCCATATCGTTAGGGGCGACATTTCCGTACAAGATTTGCGGCTATCGCTTTGGAAAGATAGATTGGGATTCGGTGGTGGTAGAAAATGGTATTTGGGCGATGTGGTACTAGGGTTTATGGTCATTCCAGTCCAGACTCACGGAAGTCTTGTTGATTGTTTTTTTTTCCCACTATCTTTAGATTAGCCTCGGACTAGGTTAACTTCACTGCAATGGAGTCCAGCCAGTTCTATTCTTGTTTCTATTAAGGTTGTTGTGCTTCTCTGCATGTGTTTTTTTAATCCTTTGATCCCTACAATGCACATTGATGTTATTTTCCCTTTGTCATTAGCAATTTTCCAATTTCCACTGAAAGAAAACCATCAAACAGGCAATGGTTAATATGCAGAGTTTCTTTGGTTCTGTATAAACTTTCTATACTGTTGATGATGATCCTTAGTGCAGTGAAAGGGTGCTGTAGTTTTGTGCTATCCGAAAGCTCTTATTCTGGCATCCATGTCAAATCAGTGAAACTGTCACAACACATTCTGTTGTGACCATTCAAATAATTCTTAAGTAGCTCTTTTAAGATACGACAGAGTCTGAACCTTGTATACTCTTGTGGGAGTTACTAAAGTATGCACAATTATAGATTTCTAATGAATTACCATACATCAATAGAATCTGAATCTACTGATTATGTATGCTGGATTTTAAGATCTGAAGTGGGTTAATGTTGCTTCATGAATGTTTCAAGAATCGTTATTTCCCCAACTTCTTTGGTTCTATAACTTGAGTCAATTCTTGGAAATACCTATTTCTGTGAGAGCTGACTGGGCATCTCATAAAGAGAAGAATATCATATTTGAATGTTAGTTTGTTTACACCTTTTTGTGGCTTGCCTCTTATCAGTTGAGTTGACCATGCCTTTATCTTTTGTTCAGGATCATTATTATTATCAAACTTGATGTTCTGCAAAGCGAGTGCGCCATAATTGGAGACCCCAAAGCCTATGATGTGAGAATCCAACCTAATGAGCAGGGCACCAACTTTGCGGCCAATGCTGCTCAAGCTAATACCGGAACATATTCCAGCGGCCCTGGTATGCTGGGATCTTCTGCTGCTCCAAGGCCATTGCAAGATGCTAATAATGTACCATACGGATCTTCTGCTGCTCCAAGGCCAGTGCAAGATGCTAACAATGTACCATACGGATCTTCTGCTGCTCCAAGGCCAGTGCAAGATGCTAATAATGTACCATACGGTGGATCCTATGGTGGTTATCAGGGTACGGTGGGCCCTCCAATTGGTCGTGCAGTAGAATCTGTTCCCAATGTGGCATCTGGTGTCTCTTATGGTACAACTTCAGCACATAATAATACAATGAATGTGGGCATGGTGCAGTCAAACTTGCAGCAGCCTTCACTGAACTCTCACCAGAACCAAAGGTTTGCAGTTCCTTCCATGGCTGGTGGCAGTGGTGCTCCTGGGAATACATACGGCCAACCTGCACAGTCCTTTTATCAGCAACCGCCTCCAGGGCATATGAATAGAACCCCTGTGTCTAAGAATGATGCAAGTCGTCTTGTCCCAGTGGCTCATTTGAACCCCTACCAATACACATGGACAATCAAGGCTAGGGTGACTGCAAAGACTGATCTCAGGCACTACAACAACAACAAAGGTGCTGGAAAAGTCTTCTCCTTTGATCTCCTTGATGGACAGGGTGGAGAAATCCGTGCAACATGCTTCAATGCGCAGGCTGATCAGTTTTTTGACCTCATTGAGGTTGATAAGGTGTACCTGATATCTAAAGGGTCGGTGAAACCTGCAAGGAAGCAGTTTAACTCTTTGAACCACGAGTATGAAATAACTCTGGATTTCAAATCATCTATCGAAGTTTGTGTTGATGATGATAGCAACATCCCTAGGCAGCAGTATAATTTCCGGCAGATAAGCGAAATTGAGAACCTTGAGGCAGGTGCTATTGTGGACTTGATTGGAATTCTTACATCAGTTGGCCCTTCTGCCACAATAATCCGAAAGGTTGGTGGCTTGGAAGCCCAGAAAAGAACTCTTCAACTGAAAGACATGTCTGGTCGAAGCGTAGAAATTACCTTATGGGGGAAGTTCTGTGATGCTGAAGGCCAGCAGCTGCAGTTGCAGTGCGATTCTGGTTTGAATCCTGTTCTAGCTTTGAAAGGCGCCCGGGTTACTGAATTCAGTGGTAGATCTGTGAACACAATCGGCTCAACTCAGTTAAAAATAGACCCAGACTTTCCTGAGGCTGAGAGTCTGCGGCGATGGTATGCAACTGAAGGGAAGACAGCTGCTTGTGTTTCTTTGTCAGGGGTAAGTATGGGCAGGACTGATGTCAGGAAAGCAGTGGCTCAGATCAAGGATGAAGATCTGGGGCGATCAGAGAAGCCAGACTTTATCACTGTTAAAGGTGCAATTTCACATCTGATCACTGATAATTTTTGTTATCCTGCTTGCACCATGGAGGTGAATGGTAGGGTGTGCAACAAAAAGGTAATAAATAATGGTGATGGGACATGGCAATGTGACAAATGCGACCAGAGCTTACCAAAATGCGAGTATAGATACTTGCTGCAGTGCCAGATCCAGGACCACACTGGGGTCACCTATGCTACTGCATTCCAAGAGGCTGGTATCGAGATCGTTTACAGCGCCTCACTGAGCTCTACAACATAAGAGAAGAAGACCCAGAACGATTTGCTGAGATCTTACAGGGGGTTCGCTGGCAGCAGTTTCTATTCAAGCTGAAAGTCAAGGAAGAGACCTTTAATGATGAGCAGCGTGTCAAATGCAGCATTACGAGAGCGGAGAAGCTGGATCCAGCAAAAGAGAGTTCTTACCTTCTGGGGGTAATCAATGGCCTATTGCAGGATGATACTGGCTCACCTTCTGAGGCGCAAGGCGCCATGGCCTATAATGCTGGTCTCAGCAACACTGGCGCTGGACGAAGCGTGCCAACCTCCAACAGTGCCTACACCACCAATATGAGTGGTCCAATATATGGGGAGTCCGCGAACCAGTTCGCGCAGCAAGCAAACACGTATATCGGGGTGCCCACTCCAGTGTCGGTGACAGGGAATGTGCAGACCTGCATGTCTTGCGGGTCAAGTGGGCACAACGCACAGAACTGCCCTGCAGGCATGTACAGGCAGCAGCCTGCTGTGAGAACGGCAAGCTCCTACGGCTCTTCGCAGCCTCGTAACGCTGGCCCCAGACCGTGTTTCAAATGCAATCAGATCGGGCACTTTGCTAGCTCTTGCCCACTGCTGGCCCCTGCCCCCCAGCAGCAGCAGCAGTATCGGAGCGGCGGCGCTTCGTCAGGTGGTTATGGTCAGCAGCAGCCCTATCTTGGGGCTACCAACTACTGAAAGTCAGTATTGGATCAGGCGTGATATTGGTTTTGCTTTAGATGCCTGTCCTGAATGGCATCGCTGCGTCTATCTATGTAGTGTAGATACAGAATGTTCCTTTTGTGTTTGTGTGTGAAGTTGGAACCATGTATCTCTCGGTACCTCTAAATGTTTTTCGTCTTATATATGGTGTGGTAAATCCTCGTTGCTGTGTCAGTTCTGTTGAATTCGTGGTTTGTCCAGCTTAATTGACTCACTGTATGGTGGTTGTAAATTAATGCAACTCATCTTTAGATTGTCAGCAGTTCATTTTGGCTCCAGGTTCATCTTATCTTCTATGTACTCGAGTTAATTTTCTTCTTTCTTTATGTTTTTTACCCCCGACATATATGATTGATTTTTGGTGATACAAACATTGTTTTGAGAGGCGAAACAAATACCATGAAGCTGCACAAACTTTAAAAAAAAAAAAAGAAGCTGCACAAGGCGAAATAAGTGTCCTGTAAGTCATGGCTGAAAGTACCGTTGGCTGATTTGTTGTAAGAGAAAAATACTGTTTGTTGGCTGAAAAAGTACGGTTTATAAGCCAAACGAACAGGTCTAAGGAATATGTTTCTAAGACGGGCCCAATCCATCACAGCCCATCAGCCAATCATGGCTTGAAACTGCACAAGGCCGAAACAATATGTTCCTGGGCCGGCCCAACCCAGCGCCATTGTGATAAAATCGCTGCCAGTTCGTCTTCCTCCAGAAAAGCCCTCTCCTCTTGTCCGCCCAGCCTAGGGTTCTTCCTTCCCGACGCGCCGCCGCCATCTCGCCGCTCCGACTCGCCTCTGCCCGCCCAGGTAATTTCCGGGTTTCGGAGTGTAGATCCATGCGGGCCACTTAGAACTTTTAGCCCGCCAACGATAGGAACCAGCATACTCGTAGAGATTTTTTTTTGGTTACCCTATATATGGATCTGAGAACTGTGTTTCGTTCGAGCGAATAGCTAGTGACTTCGTGTTTAATCCATGTGCAGATTGACGGCTCCACTTGGATCCCATGGCGGAAGAAACCAATGTAAGCTGAAAAAAATTACTGCATCCCCCTCCCCCGGATGTTGCTCTCTTCTTTCTGGTGCCGTGAATTAATTGTGATTTGGTACTTGTGTGGTTTTCCTTTTCCTTTGTCGAAACAGGTAAAGAAGGAGGAAGAGGAGTTCAGCACCGGTCCTCTCTCCGTGCTCATGATGAGCGTCAAGAATAATACCCAGGTTGGTAGATTTCCTCTGGAAAATTCAGTGTCTCCTTCGCAGTCTGTCTACATTGACTTTACTTCTCAAGTATGAAAATATGTATGTGCTGGTGTTTTTGTTGTATAATCTGGTACCATGATGTGGATTATAGTTATGCAATGTGCCTGCTGTCCAGCTGTGTCAATATGGTTAACCTTAGTTGGCTGCCTCCTGTTCTTGGTAGTCCTGGAACTTAGATCCATTGTTAGGTTATATTTGACCATAGTTTTTGTGTATCCTCCATCCAACTTATGATCGTTTGTGTTGTATTTGAACCTTCTTATTTATTGGCTGAGACAAATATAGTTCTGTGCAGCAGCCTGAAGCTCCTGCTTCACCAAATCATATGGCTAGTAATCTTCTTAGCTAAGACATGTTTATTAGCTGTGGTTCCCAATTGTTTACTAAACATGCCCCTCAGCTGTGATTCTAACACTATTTTAGTCCGTGGAAGTGATGCACTAGTGTGTAGTCGGTGTTGTATTCTTGTTCCCTTAACTGTGATGTGCACATGTTTCTTACCTTCCGTGCATGGAAGTAATGCGGTGGTCTTGTTTGCCAGTATTGTATCGCACCATAATTTGGCAGTTTTGACTATAATGCTAGTACCTATCTGTCATAGGTTTCTGTATCTATACTATCTATTTTTCTGCATTATTGCTACGGTTCATTTATAATTTTTTAGTCATTTCCATCGTCAAAGTTGGATTAATTTGCCAGGAACTGTTTTCTGAGTGGCACTAGTGATTTATATAAGCTGATTTGTTTGATGTTAGCTCCATTCAGCCAAAATAAAAAATTTGTCATGCATCCTTATTTCTTTCATAAATTGCAAAAGTAAGATTTACTATTTTTGTAGTAACTGAATTGCTTGCTTAGTTGCTGTCAACTGCCAGACAATCATGTTTCCTTGGTCCATATTTTTCCACCCATTTTATCTAAAAATGTCCATGTATAAACCTAAGCCATCGTTTCCTGTAGTGTGATCGCTATGTCATTGTTACTTAACTGATATATCTTTGTTTCTCTCATGTATCACATATTATGTGTCTGGTGTCAGGTTGCATACTGCTGACTGCAGATAGTGCTTTTCAACTGCTCCTTGTTCTGATAATGCATTGTCTCTTATGTCTTAGGTTCTTATCAACTGCCGGAACAACAAGAAGCTGCTTGGTCGCGTGAGAGCCTTTGATCGGCATTGCAACATGGTTCTCGAGAATGTTAGGGAGATGTGGACTGAGGTATGTTGAACGGTCGCTTACCTTTTGTAAAGTTTCCCTTGCTTGAACTGCTGTGTTCATTAATCATTTGTGAACACATTTTACCTGTGTTACAGGTGCCAAAGACTGGTAAAGGCAAGAAGAAGGCTCTTCCGGTGAACAAAGACAGGTTCATAAGCAAGATGTTCCTCCGTGGGGATTCGGTCATCATTGTTCTCAGGAACCCGAACTGAGTATCTTGTACACGTGGAGAGTCTATTTGCTAGTACGCTGCTATTGAGTAGTATGTATGCCAGATGCTCAAAACATGGTGTAAGACGCGACATTTCCTGAACCAGAATTCGCTATGTGTATGTTGATGGTGGAGGATTTAACTTAAAGGCAGGATGCTAGGACTTGGTTTTACCTCTTGTAGCCGACTTGAACTGGATGTTTCTTTGAAGTAGTAACAAACCCTGCTGCATGAATCATTGGTTCCAATCTGTGAGTCGAGTTGTTAATGGCACACTGACTGCCAGATGTATGCTTGGTTATTTGAGTGCAATAGTAACTACCGCTAGCTTGTCTCAAAAACACACACACACACGACCTTCACGGTCGAATGACACTATTTTTTGTACAATGGACAGCTCAGTGGGTAACTCATGGGCCTCGTTCGTTTGGTTGAATTTGACTGAAAAAATAAGCCAAAACACCGTTCCGGCTAAATTATTGTGAGAGAAAAATACTCTTCCGGCTGAAAAAAGAAGCCTAAGACAAGCGAACGGGGCCCACATCAGCAAATTATTTGTGACCTATAACTGGCGTAGAATTGGAAAAAAGAACACTGAAACAAGTCAGGGCGTAAGGAACGATAATGTTGGAAGACGGGTTTTTGCTGTTATAGATCGTTCCTTTGGCTTCTTGCATGAATACACGAAGAGCCTCAGAAGCAAACCAGTCAATTGCATTAACTAGGGTACGGAGTTAACACATACAAAAAGAAAGAAAGAAAAACCCTTGACATGTATACAATGAAAAGAGCTCTTATATAATTGATGATGCAACGAGGAACATAGTTTTTAAACATGAACAGTTGAAAGTTTTACATAACTGAAAAATGAGATGGAATTGTAGCTTTTATGAGCACTGCTACAAATAATCTTCAGAGAGCAAAGCACTTAAGAATCATGTTCGTGTCATGTGATTTGAAAACTCTGAAGTGCACTTCTTCAAAATCTAACCTTTACATCTGCCTCTCCCAAGTCCCAACTTCATTCAGTTGTGGCGTTGGCCACATTACTCTGATCAATAACATTTTTTTGAATAAGACAAATCCTTGTCTCATCAACACCTTTCAGGGGAGAAAGGACATTCAGGAATAGATAATTAGAGATACCAGGAGTCAGGAAATAACCGATGGATCTTATGCCAGGCCTTGTGAGTGAAAAAACCAAAGCTTGGTTGCGTTGATGTTTGTTCACCAACACATTTCAGCAATCATTTCGGATGAAAAATTCACGTGTATATCAAGGCAGCATGCTAAGTTCAGATGAAATAACAAATTTCATCTAGCAAAGGAAAACACAATACATGGATGTTCTGCATCCAAAAGAAACAAGAGAAGGCTTTTGTTGCACATTTACTCATCATCAGTAAAGCATATGAAGAACCCCAACATTTGGTCCCTGCTCGCTGGCCTGAGGGTCCAGGGGTGGAATGTAGCAAAGGATGTGGAAATTGCAGATGCACCTCTTGGTGAGGCATCAAATGAGTTAAATTACTGCTGCATTTTGAACAATGAATCTCTTGAGCAAGCACCGCTAAAACAGCTGGCAAAATTGTCTGATGTAGTCTGATGGCTCAACTATTACAACCTTGCATCTGAGAACACTGCTCTCATTAAAAGGCTTATTTTCACCCACATTGTATACACGTACTCCAAAAGAATGAGCATTAAGAATATTCTTTGTGCTTACATTCAGAGTGTTAGCCCATTAACTAGTACGATCTAATCTCTTAGCAGATACTACTGTGAACTAATGATGGCCTCTTTTAGATCAGGAGTATCATAAGGCTGTTATTTGTGATTTTCTGTGCACAACCTGACAGTACTAGCCTGGTTGGGCATGGACTTCACAAGGCACAGCATTTGGTAATATGACTACTGTAGGAATCAGAATGACACTGAAAATGTCCGTTAACACTCCTACTTATCTTACAGGCATTGAGTCCCAAACCATTGTTGCCAATAAAAGTCTGCAACTAAGGATTATACTATATAATGGGGGTCATTGTCATTACTTTTTCTGTAGCATGATCTATGTGGTGGTAGTGGTGCTATGAGGCCCAGTTGTGGTTGCTACCTTACTCTGATCAAACACATTGAGCAAACTGAGCTGGATTGCAGTGATGTTGTACAAGATGAAAACCAAAGCTGAACATAAACCATCACATGAGAAATGAGATACAGTAAGAACCTTTTCGCACATCCATATCAAGGTAATAGTAATACTCATTCAGAGAGGAAAAATCAGGACATGAAGAATTCATGCATTCATTCATCAAAATTCCAAATTTGCAGTGTGTGGGAGTATAGATCACTCCTGGCCTTGCATTTCCTTACTAACAACTGCTACGCTCGTGAGTCTTACGGCGTCGTGTTTCCTTTCTATGGATCATCACAAGGTAAAGTAAAACTAAGCTACACCGACAGAAGAAGTGAAGCAAAGAAGTAACTGTCGAGAAGAGCACGGGTGGATCAACCGATCAATCGTCGAATGCTGCCGACGACGAGGAGGAGTCGGCGAGGTGGGGGAAGCGCGCGGCGGTGGCGGTGGAGAGGAGGAGGTACTTGCGGACGCAGGAGCGGACGCACTCCTCCTCGCGCTTGCCGAGCGCCCGGCGGTAGAAGGAGACGACGCAGTCGGAGAAGCAGCGGTGCGAGAGCCAGTTGTACAGCCGCATCCTGCAACGAGGGTGAGGGGAGGGAGGGAGGAGCCGTCATTCGTCAGCCACAACTCACGAGCAAGGAAGGAGAGCAGATGGAGCAGCCGCCTCTGCCTCCTCCTCGAATGGGAAGACAAGTAGAGATCGAGCAAGGGAGGAGGAGGGCGTACGCGTCTCGGGTCTGTAGGCCGTCGGCGATGGCGTCCAAGCGCGCCTGGTCCTGCTCGTCGTCGCCGGCGGCCGTGGCGGCGGCGGCGGCGTCCATGATTCAGCTGCGTGTTTCTTTCTTGGAGGAGGAGGGCTGGAAGGGAGACAAGGGTAAAGCAAACAAGACAGCCACACAGAGCCTACTAGAGCAGAATGCGGCGGCCCATGGGGCTCTTTGGGCCGGCCCGTTCTGGAAAGGGGCGAGTCCGGAAAATACTTGTGCCGATTTTTCATTTATATATTTTTCTATATTTGTTTTTTTGCAAAAGTAAGTTTTCTATATTTGCTATATTTAATTTTTGCAAAAAAGGTCTAAGAGCATATCTAGGATTTTGGTATAATTTACTTGCTAAACTAATAGATCTAGCAAGTTAGCATTAGAAAATAGCAACCTTAAATTTAGTTCTTCTCCAATAGTCTCCTATAATAACTTTCTAAACGATTTTGTATTGGGAACCCTAAACTATGTCTAACTAACTAAATATTTTTAATGGTTTTTTAATCTCTTACCGCTTTCTCATATGGAATCCTTTATTTTCTTAATTACTCATACATTCAATTTACTTTGATTTGATCTCCCGAGAAAAAGATCGATACAGACTTATAGAGTTCCTCTTGACCGTGGAAGCCTATGAATTGGAGAGTATATTTGACAAAATTTTATTTTTAAGGAGTTCTTTTATCAATATGTTGGATCGGAGGACACATTTAAAAAAAATCAAAATAAAAAGTCGTTTACAAAATTTCTAGAGATGCTGCAAGTAAAAAAACGGTAATGCTCTCTATCAAGCGTCCTTTCGGCCAGATGGGACGGACCCGTCTACCCCCGCGCCTTACGCCTGCGCCTCGCGCGCCATGCGCTTCATGACTCGCGCGCCCCACCCACGCCTCGTGCCTCACGCCACGCACTGCTCTCGCCTCGCGTCGCCTACGCCTCGCGCTGCGCACAGCCAAGGTCTGACCTCCGCGCCATGGCATCGAGCTCCGTGCCAGCGTCAAGCTCCGTGTCAACGAGCGTCCATTGGGAGCATCAAGTAGATGAACACATGTTGCGACCGTATGTTTTATGCATTTCAGATGTATATTACATATGTTTCATCTGAATGTTGCAAAAGTAGATCTGTTGTTACATCTATTGCAACGACTATGCACATATATTGCAAGTGTATATTTTAAATGTTTCAGCTGTTTCAAATGCACGTTGCAAGTATTTTATCTGGATGTTATATATGCTGCAGTGCTCGTACACATATGTTGCAAACGTATGTTTCAAGTGTTTTATTTAGATGTTGCATATGTTGTAGTGCTCATATGTTTCATCTGCTTCAGACGTATGTTGCAGCAGATGCTTTATGTTGCAAGTGTTTCATGAGCAGGTGGGCGCGACAACAGGCGCGGAGAACAAAGTTGTATCCATGGGCATGACAGCAGGCGCGGAGCACGAAGCTGCATACATGGACGAGCAGTAGGCGCGAAGGATGAGGCGAAGCGGAGCACGAAACTACATCTATAGATTGGCAGCAGGCGCGGAGCACGAGATAAAACAGAGTACGAAGCTACATCTGTAGATGCCCTGAGGTATCATTATTGAAAACGGACGGAGAACGAGTGTGGGCGTCCGAACGGACGCCACGTCTGAACCTTCATGCGCTAGTCTCTCCATAAAAATATTTGTAAAGATACTTTTGCCGCCCATTGAGTCGCGTTATTTTGATTCCCGCCGATTAGAGCGGCGGTAAGAAGTACATCGATCAAATTGAGTTGCGGAAGGTCGCTTAGCTCTGCACGTAGGCTTTTTGTTCTTTTTTATTAATCCACAACGAATAACTAGGGGCCCTAAAAAAATATTATGGTCTTCCAAGTAGATGTTAAAATTTAAATACGCCCCATTTCACCTGTATCTCGTATCACAACTTTTGCTGTTTTAAAATTAACATTCTTCCTAAAATGCTATGTTTGAGTTTTCGATCGATCAGCAGCTTAGCCCGAAAATGTTTTTTAACAATTCAGGAGGAATTGTATAAATTTATTGTTTAAAAAATAATACTTTATCATGTTGCAAAGAAAAATTCAAGAGCACCTTTGTCTTGGTTTTCCATGGTGCAAAGCAAACACCCCTCTTTCATAGAAGAATGGAGACAACACTTTTTTTTAGAACAATGGACGCAACTCTTTGTGTAAAACAGTATATCCTTTTGATCATCTTCTTTGTTGCGTTTTTTTGTTTTTTAAACGCTTTATAATGTATTTAGGCTCTTCTCCTCATTTTAATATATAATTAGTAGGAGAAACCCCTCCTGTTTATTATACCTTAAAAAAAAGAGGGACCGAGTATATATATAAGCAAATATTTTGGGCCAGAGTCCGGTGATATATATTAGTAGTGAGGGGAAGGGAAATGTTTTATTCACCATAACTTTGATGAGTACGTACCCATACATGATCACATTGACCAAGGAAAAGGAAGTTGCATGGCAATGACATCCAAAATAACCGAAATTAATGCAAATGAAATTAGACAATGATATTAAATTATATTCGTAGAACATAAAAAAGCCAACCTTCACATGGGAAACAAGTTTTAATGATAATATCACATACATATATAAGGCCGGTCTTAGTGGGAGTTTCCCAAAACAAACCGATGGTCTCTCTATGTGTGCGATTTAATGATGATTGACATATTTGTCAAGAGGTTTTAAGCTTTTGGTGGTGCTAGCATGTTGTTTATATGTGTGCATAATATGTTTTTGCTAACCGGAAGGTATTAGAGGATCGAAGATGTATCTTGGATCATGATGTGTGGGTGTATGGATGCGATATGATGGCAAGCAGATGCGTTGTGAAGGACAGGCTAGGCACGACACTGATGGACTATGCATGTGGTAGCATAGGGCGAGCTGGTGGTTTGGCATGGATATTGCTTGGTGGTGGGCGAGACGAAGCTTGGCACACTGAAGGGACTGTCCAGTCTGAAAAGTCATTGTTGGAGATCCATGTTGCTCGTGGGAAGAGTATTAGAAGACATATGGACAAAAGGATGATGAACATGGGGTCAGCCAATTAAGGAGGACCATGGCGCCATGACACTTTGCGGACCCCAGGCACGGGTCTACACCAGGATGATGAAGATGGAGAAGCTAAAGTCAAGGAGAAAGGTGAAGGCGTTGGGTCCTTGGCAAAGGTTGGGCATGCATTAGCCTCGGTGAGTCAAACCTCACGGGGGTGTGCAAGATGTTTTTTTGCTAGTTTAGTCCTCAATACAGGGCAAGGATGGTTTGGTGGTTTATGCCTCAAAAACCACATGCGACGAGTTGACTATTTTGGGCCTCGAAACCAAGGGTGATGGGTCAGAAGATGCGTGGTGTCATCATAAAGCTTGCATCAACAAAGTGAAATCATAAAGGCGTTGGGTCCATTGGATGCACCAACAAAAATCTAGACAGTTTTACCCCTAGGTATTTGGATGGAGTGCTTTATTTAATTACACTTTAGAAACAACCAAGTGCCTATATAGTGGGCATGGATAGTTGTGGGGAACACGCCTTGGGGATTAGGCTCTAATTTGAGTGGTTGAGAATTTTGCTTTGCATAAGAGAGAGAGAGAGAGAGCAAAAGAGGCGGGGCTTTTGTCCTTTGAGTTTTTTTTACCACACAAAGTTTTGGTTTGCTATGATTCGTTGGTACCCCAACATCTAGATCTAGTCCAAGTTTTGATTTTGTGCTCCAATGTCTATCTCCCTCAACTCATAAGTTCTTACCTTTTGCATAATTTCGAAGCCATTTTTATAGCCTTTGTCTCTTGATTTGATTTTGTTTTGGGCCAAATTTGTTTATGGATTTAGGTATTTACATACATTAGAAAGATATCTTCGTCATCAGTTTATCCAATCTCCTCCAATATTGGTTTGCCCCCCAAAATTTTTTCCATTCTCCAGGGTTTCATGAATTTTGGAAAATCAGAGCTAAAATGCTAATATTTTGGGGCTTATTGGTTGGAAAGGATTGTTCATGATGTAGGGAGGCCATGCTTAAAATTTGGTTTCAATCATATTTCATTGGCAAAATTAGCTACAAGACATGAAAAGTGAAGTCATGTGGTGTTTAACATCGGAAAAAAAGTTCAATTGGCCAGTGAACACTTTGAAAATGTGTTAATTTGCCTATTTAAATAATATTTTGAATAGAGAAAGATGATGAAATATTAATTTTGCCTTTTTTTTCTTCTTTCTCCATCCCCTTCTTCCCTTGGTCGTCGTCAAGCGCCTCGCCTCTGCAATTCGGCATGCGGCCACACGCGAGGTGTGCAGTTTAGCTTGGCACGACGTTAGAGAGAGTGGGGCAAGGTGGAGGTGGCTCCAGACAATGGTGGGCACCCGAGACACGGCAGGTGGCGAGAGCTTGGCGACTGCACGTGGCGGCGGGCACGGGGATGTTTAGGGCCAGGGATGCTGCTAGTGGCGCGCTTATGAAGCAACTAGGGCGGCAACACATGGTGTCTACAAGACTGTGGCGGCACATAACGAGACAACATGGGCAGCAAGACATTGAGCCACAACGCAATTTGAAGGACACAAGGCGGTGGCATGCGTGTTCGGTTGGCAAAGGAGCCATGGACCCACCTCTCCGTCTTCCTCTTATTCCCTACATCCTATGTCTCCACCTTCCTCTCTTTCCTACATTCTATGCTACGATTTTCCTACAACCATCGAATATTATTTGACTGTAGATAATTCGTGAACTCTCCTAATAGGTACAACCTAAAAACTTATGCCAGTAGTGAGCCGGTCCATTATCCAAGTATGCGTAGAGCAAGAACGGTGGTTTCATTACATTCAAAAACTTTGGATGACAAACTCGTACCGCATCACGGTGCGTCCTGAGCCCGAGCCTAGGCATGTCACGCTACGGCTCGGCTCGGGTCCTTTGTCTCTCTCAATTTCAGAATAGATACACCACAAAGCTAACTATTTGAGTAAAGTCAACACTTGATCAAAATTACATACGAAACTATTTGATCAGAATTACATATGGAACTAACACTTGAGTCGACAAGTG